GGAAAGGAAAAGATGTATACGTCTAACCTTGATCCCCGAGTGTAGTGAGCGTCACCTAGTTCTAATGTGTGAGCTTTTGAGCATAACCTACAAAGAACAAATGGACAACAGAATGATCTGAAAGCGGAGTCTCATTGCTTTGCTCAGTAAACCTTCCAACTGACTGTTTCCAGAGTGGCAACTATGGTGCCAGAGGACGTTGCAGGCTGCCTAAGGGGACCACTGGCTGCAGTCTCAACACCCCCTCTCGCGTTTTCAGAAGGCCACGTTAAGGCGCCTGGCTTGGGTCGAACAGGCACTGTTTAGTTTTTTGCAAGAAACGTACTACTTTTACCGAGACGCTTTACCTCTATCTCGCTCAAACAAAGTCTCTTGCAATGGCACCCCTCTTGACAACCCATTCTATAGGCTATGAGAGGCGTTTGTATCTATGTAGAGAGAAGAAGGAGGGTGGGGGAGGAGTGGAAAGATGGAGGGTGACCTAGACGAGGACGGCATTACCTACACTGGTAGTTTAATTTTTATTTTCATCTATTTTTAAAAGTCAAGCAATTCTACAAGACATGATAAAGCCAGCCATCTCTGCCCCCATCTTCACAGCCCCTGAGCCCCGCACCCTACAGTCAACGGTTCCCAGTCTTTCTGCTGTTTCTTCAGGCCTTTTGTGTCCATGTTTTGAAATGATATGCTTATACAGCTGTTTCTTAATATTTTTTTTAATTAAAATTTATCTATTGACTTCCTATTCTGGGAGGTGATGAGTTAGCATTCTTACCCCCATTTTCTCACTTACTGTTCTAAAATAATTATATTATACATCTTGGTTAAATTGCTATTTATTGTGCATATCCCATGGTTATGTAAATGCTATTCACTGATGAACTAAGGAGTACAATATGATTCCAGTTCCTTTCTTATACAACTTAGTATATTTTCTTGTCTTTTCTTTTTTGAGACAAGGTCTCACTCTGTTGCACAGGTTAGAGTGCGAGTGGTGTCAGCATAGCTCACTGCAACCTTGAACTCCTGGTGCTCAACC